CCGCACACGCGATCATCGTGGGGTACGGACGCACGTTCTCTCTCTCTCTTTCTCTCTTTCTCTCTCTATCCCTCTTTCTCTTTCTCTATCTCTCCCCGAATGTCTCCTCGCCGCCGCTGCCACCCGCTATTTCCGCGCGACGCGTGTTCGCCGCACGATCGGGACCCGCGTGTGCCCCGTGAGTGTCGCCGTGACTCGCTGTGAGAGGGTTAATGAGTGCGCGGTGCCTCGACAAGGAATAGTTGAGTGATAATTAAACGTTAGAAGAAAGCGAAAAAAAAAACGGAAAGAAAGAAACGAAGGATAATATTCAAGACGGTCTGTCGACGATTACTTGTATACGACGTGTATTTTGTGACGACGCGATTGTTCACAAGTGGATTTTCAATGTGAAAACAACATCTCTCGTGCGTGGTGTGCGATAAGAGAAACCGGAGTACAGTGCACTGTGAGGAAGCGATTTGATTTTCGATCTCGCGCGCGTTTTGCGCCAAATCCGATTCTCTCTTCTCTCCTTGGAGTTGAACGACTGCAGTCGGAGGCGGTAAAAAATCGAGCCGAATCATCATGGATTGGATTGGTCTGACCAGCTTGTTATTGTTCTGCCTCGGACGGATCAGGGGTAAGTGTTGTGTAGTTTTTTGCATCTCGTATCGGTTGGACCGACGGCACGGCGCCTCGTGCGCTGACGCACATGAATCAGGGCCTTTGTCAAACGAGAGGCTCCACCGCCACCGCCACCGCCACCGCGCCGTGCTGCTCGATCGATTCGATTAATCGCCGACGATCCGCGTCGGGAATGCGCGGCGTTTCGGACATCCGCTGGGGCCTGCCCGTTGCGCGACGCGCCGTTTTGCTTTTGTTCGCAACGCGACGTCGATGGCCTATTTGCGGCTCGCTATTATGAACGGGTGCAACGGCTGCGATGATAACGCGCACGTCGAGTTCCCGCTATCTGAAGGTAGCAATCGCAAATTGCTCCACAACGGGAGTCAACACTTATCATCCTCTAGCCGTTGCTCGATACAACTGTCTCCCACGATCAATTCTTTGCGATGGTCACTTTACGCCATTAGTGCGTAAGTTTCGCTCGTCGTCTTTCAACTTTAAACATGTTTCCTCGTTTAACTTTAGTCATTTTTGACTTTAACTAGAATATCGCGTCTATATCCCCACCTAAATTCTCGCCATCTCGGTACTCTGGTGCGGAGTTTTTCGGCGCCTATGCTATTTTCTCGCTTCTCTGTTCTTGAAATTGGGAAAGTTATGAAATAGGAGAGATATATATAGTTTGGAAAGGCTGGCTTGCGTTCGAGGATATTACTGATTCTTGCCGCACTAGCCGTTTGAAAGTAGTCATACATTTATTCTGCCACGACGGGAATGACAGTCTATTGGTAATAACTAAAGTGCTGACTTTTTGAATTTTTAAGCAGTCCCCCGTGTGACTTATGCATTCGAGTCTGCAAAGTGTAACTTTTGAATACTTAAGTATTGGAAATGGTTTAAGAGAAACGATAAAGTACTTTTGGATCCACGAGAACACCTAAAGGTATCTACTGTAATGCTGATCTTTGTTTAAAAAAACAATCGCGAGATATAAAATTGACGGCAAGTTGGAGCGTGACAAGTTTCGTAGATGTCTTCGCATATTGAATTTTAAACGATCACTTAAAACTGTTTGGAGCTCATATTATCTACTCGCTCGAGATAGTTGGCTGGGCAATTGAAATCTATTAAAATTTCGTCTAGATCAAAATATCAAATGGAGACAATTCGCGAGTTTGCGACGTCTCGTTTCTTCTCTTAATCCTTAAGCGTTAAGGTCATGCTGACGCACAGAGAATGTCATATTCGAATAAAGCTGCATAAAATAATGATAACATCCGAGTAGTCTTCCTCCATCTAACCCTCTTAGTGATCTTTTAGACATAGAATATTAACAGTGTTTTCACGCTATTTTGCGCAACGCGACGTCAAAATCGCAACAGCAAAATTTACGTATTTCTTTTTAATTTCACGTTTGGTGCAGTCCTCTGCATGTATGTGGCAGTATATGCCGCGCGATTCATTAAGTATCTAGTATTGGGCATTAATAGATCGTTTTATTTTTTAACTAAAATAATCGATTAAAAATTGGAAATATACAAGAATGTTCGGTAAGTTTTATCAAAGCACTTGTATGCAGATAGAGTGGATTAAACTGAGTCGAAAAGTCCCCTACTATTTTGCAATTTTTGCAATAATGAACGATATACTAATTTCTAAAGATTTGTCGAATAAGCGGGTAAAATCGACACATAAGACAATTTTAAGATTTCTTTCAGAGTTCTTTATGAAACATTTCTTGAAAGCTACCTTAAAATTGTTTTATGTGTCGATTTTAGACGTTTTATTTATAAGATAAAAAAATTGCAAAAACTGCAAAATGGTAGAGGACTCTTTCATTTAATTTAATCCGCGCTATTGACACACTAGCGCTTTGTCAAAACGAACCAGATACCCTGTATATAATCATGATTAATGTAATCAATTAATGAAATTATTCGTGAAATAATTTTCTACAATTAATCGATTGCTTCTTTTGAGGTAAAGTAATCTATTAAAAATTAATTGTATTGATCGTAAATCGTTAATTTTTAATTATATTTAAAAAAAATATATTTATAATTTTTATTGCTATTATTAAAGAACTCTTATTAATGAATGTATTTGTCATATCGAAAAAATATTCAAATCGATATTGGTCGATGAATTATTTTGTTTCTACGTAAACTGGAAAAGAGATTGCGCATACATTAATTGTTACAAGTTTGATCTATTCTATAATCAAAAACTAATAATAAATAATGATTAATTTTTTTAATTAGAGTAGTTAGTAATTTTTATTCAATCGATTGAATTAATCACAATTGCAAACAATAATATACAGAGTGTCTCACAATCACCGTGAAATATTTTTATAGCGTATTCTAGAGGTGGAGTAAAAAATAATGATACGAAATACGATAATCTAATACGAAAATGTCAAAGCTACAGTAGTTTCTGAATTATAATTGATTAAAGATAGTTTTTGTAATTCAAAAACTATTATAGCCTTGACATTTTTGTAATAGAATTTTTGTCTTAGAATGTTCCAACGAATTTAGAAATAATAATAGAAGTAAAATACAACAAAGAAGAGTTTAAAGCCTTAAGAAAGTAAAATAGTTTTTGTCTTATAAGTAATTAAAGTTATGCTTATAATTCAAAAAATTATTACAGCCTTAACATTTCCGTATTAGGATTTTTACCTCTAGAATATGCTGTGAAAGTATTCTACTGTATTAAATATTTGAATGAAGGACAAAAGTTAGAATTAAAGGTAGTATAAAAAGTAGGACTTTAGAAAAAACTCTAATCATAACATGTAAATACAGCGTTATTTTCTCAGAGCACAGAATACGTAGCGCATGACCACTTGTGTGTGATGACAACTACTCGGACGATCACTTAAGGATTAGTACGAGCACGTATACATAGAACGTGCAAGCTTTACGAGAGACAACAATTGGAATTGGAAGAATATTTGATTTACGGATGTAAAATGCGTGAAAAAATAGACCACATCGGCGACTAGGCAGTGGATAAAAAGTATGTTGTCGTTTTGTGCTCCCTTTCCATCCCAGTCCCCCTCCACAATCTACGAAAACCGCAGCCTCTGGCGTTTTTTCAAAGCTCTTCAATTCGCAAAACGATTGCAGCATACGAGATATGCATTTCCGAGAATTCGCGCCCATCTATATATCTACTTCAATCCCCACCCTCGTTGCATCCTCGCGCTACCCGCACTCCCACGCCACTCATTCCGAAACTCATTTCGCGATATGGGATAAACAACGGCATTGTCGGAAAACACGAATGAAGCTTGAACGAACGTACCTCCGCCGCAGTATATACCGTACGATCCAATTACCACCGTGGTGTGTCGCGATTGCGCATCAACTAAGCTTAATTTAACAGGGTTTTGATATTGTCTCTGTGATTATCGACCTGCTCGAAAAGTACGGACATTACCTGCTATCGCCCCGTTAATTTGAGTGAAAACAATTTAATGGAGAAACACATGAGCGCAAAAAAAGTGATATTTATTTGTTATCTCTCTACGAGAGATCTTTCTCTTTGACATAATCGATTCCTGAGTAACGTAAGGGACAAAGTGTCGGTGATTAAAATGCCCAGTAGCGAAGTAACGACACTTAAACGATTCCCTTACGGTTGACTTAACTTTGTTCATCGCGCCGTTCTCCTCCGCCGGGATTAATAAGTACGAAACGGTACGAAAGGGTTACACGCGATCCTCACGCGAGATATCGTCGAGTAAAAAAAATTTGTCGCGCAAGATCGATAAGAACGTAAGGGGTGCACCGGAGAAAACTGAAGAGTAGGGGGTTACACACTTCGCGTACATCAAGCGTATCGCGGCAGGTACGTACGTACGTACATTTATCGTGTATGAACTTCAATTTCGTGATGGAAGTGGATTAATACAATTTAATGGCGTCCCGAGAGAATTATATGCATGTCGACATCTCGTACCTCGATCTGCCTACAAATACGCGGAGACGTGTATACATTGCACGTATTGCATCCGTAAGAGTGTGTACGTGTGTGCGTATGTGCCTGCACACGCGGACCCCGAGATGTATATCGGGGAACTAGTAGTCGGTGTGCTTAATGATAATGGGGATAATAATAATTTAATTTAACACTCCGCGAGAGAAGGAGGTTGCGCTCTCACCCTGAACCGGTCCTCTCCGCTCTACTCCTTCTCCCCTAACCCCCTCGTCCAAATTCCTCCCTCGCAGAGTGCAGTATGCAAATATCAAAGAGTTGTGTCCTTCATCTCTCAGTTTCTCCAATGTCCCTCAGCTTTGGTCTTAATCTTTCCCGTTATTTATCTTGACTGTTTGTTCCGAATCTTTTACGACTACAACTCTCTATAGTTGTTTATCTCATACACTGTCCTGTGTAATTTTTGTTACGATCCTTAAGAGACTCGTTTCAGAAGGCAATTAATCTGCATTTATTCGCGTATCTTTTCGCTTGTCTTATTAAACGAAATTTACGCTCTGTTTCTCCCCATCTCTCTCTCTGTTAACGCATACATTCTTTGACAGTCAGAATGATACATTCAGTCTTTATCTTTATGCGACAATAACGAGGTAATCGTTTTTCCAATATCGTTCAATGTTGCCCGAGATAATTATTCGTGTACGCTCTTAAGGGATCGAAATAATCTCAGAGTATTAATAAATTGAATTTTTTCTTTCTTTCTTTCTTTCGTTTTTACTCTACGTTACGTAATGATAATAATACGAAGGACCGCGCGCATCATTATCTAATGTGCCCTCTTATAATCTGCTTTCATATGTCGCTTTTGCGTTCTAATTTTATGACTTTACGTTTCTCTGGTGCTTTTAGGAACTTGGACGCTTAGAGAGAACACAGTAAATATCTCTCTCTCTCTCTCTCTCTCCCTATTTTTCTTTTTTTTTCTTTCTGTTTTCTTTCTCTTGAACTAGTGACTCACGTAGAGTAGGACGAAGATAAAAAATGCGTATGTACGATTGCGAGAGGAAA